AGGCAGACCTAAAAAGACTTGGTTAGAAAATATTAGGAATGACCTTTGTTTATTAGATTTAAATGAGAATTTAACTTTTAATAGGACACAGTGGAGGAAAAAGATTCATGTAGCCGACCCCACGTAGTGGGATAAAGGCTTGATGTTGTTTTTGTTGTTGTAGTTATTAAAGATATTATTGATAAATAGGCTTTTATATAGCTTGTAGGTATAATAGGAAGTAGATGTCATAGTAAGACAAGTAGATAAAATTAATGTTGAAGGATTATGAAGAAAAGTGATATATAAGAAGTAACATTGTTAGAAGTACCACAAAAAAATTGCACTAGATAGAGATAACATCTCATATAATTCTTAGCAAGAGTAAAGGATGAAGAATTCATAAAGCGACCCCAAATAGTTGGGTTGAGGCTAATGCTATTGATGATGATGGTTGAAAAGATGCCAAGTAGTTGGGATGAGGCTATTGATGATGATGATTGAACAAGCATTGTACAATATGTTGTAATCTTTGAGCTTACTTGCTGCTATAAGCACAATCAGTGGCTGATAACTATTCCTATAATTTTGCAATTGTTCTTGTACCTTTAGTATGTAGATTCATATGCAATTTTTTGAAGTACATTTTGGGTTATATGGTGGTACCAAACTTTCTAGATTTGATATTTGGATATTATCTTTTGTGGCTGAAAATTTATAATCTATGCTGTTATTCGAAAAAAAAAAGATCTATAATTTAAAAAAAAAATTCTCATTGGGTGCCCTCTAGAGAGTTGTTTCCTCTTTTTTTGGGTAGGACTTGCTTTTACTGAAGTTAAAACTGGATCACTACATATTGAATGTTATTATCACTGTAGAAGTTTTACCATTAAGACAAACACCCATTAAATTTGTACTCTCTTACTTCAGGAAGAATTCAAGGATGTTGTTGAGTGGCTTAGAGAAAATGCTGCAAAATCACAAAGCAACCTGTCTACAAGTACACCAAGTGTAGAGGGCAAGGCTCCTATCACTCCCCCAACAAACCTTGAATCTCCAAATGCAGTTGTGCCACCTAATTTTTCACTGCAAGAATCAAGCAGCAAACCTGCTTCTATTTCACCTAGTAGTCAGATCGAATCAATTTTTGTGTCCAAAAGCGCTGAATCAAATCCAAATTCTGATAGAAACCTTGCGTCTGGCAAAATGGTCATGCCTCCTACTGTTTCAGTTCCACAAACGCCAAGCTTGTTTTTCAATTCCCAGAGCAGGTTGAGCTCCAATACGGACAATGAATTATCAAAGGAAGCCCCATCTGCCAGCTTGCCATTTTTGCAGAATTCAAGCTTATTTTTTAGTTCACAAAGTGGGGAATTCTTTTCCACGAGCGGAACAAAAGCACCTATCTTCTCTGGTAAGCTCTGTCCCCGTGTGGTCCGGAAAAACCTGCTGTCATTGCAATATTCATATTCTTTTATATTGCATTAATTTGCATATGACATGATATGTAATAGATTGTACATCTTAAAATTTAAAAAATTGGGCCTAATTTTTTAGTTATTACAATTATAATTATGGAAGGTAGGGCTGTTATTTGCTTGTTGCGAGTCCAACTTTTAAAAAATTTGAATTATCCATATTCATTTGTCTTTAATATTATTGTCTTTTATTCGATTGCTCCTTTTTCCATGCGATCACTCTTTCTTTCTTGAAAACTAATTTCTGCATATTTTTAGGAAAGTTTAAAGCAGAATAAAATTAATTGCTAAATTCTTGTTTGTCCTCTTTTCAGGTGGTCAGTTTTCTACTCCGCAGAAAGTAGAAACAGGCGATCCAGATGAAGGTAACGTAGGGAAAGCTTTTTTCGTATTTGGAATTTATGACTTCAATGCAGTGACATTGTGGCATTATTAATTTAATATTAATTATCTTTCTATTGCTCTGGAAAATAAATAGCTAAATTTCAAGTTTTCTGTGGTTAATCAAAATGGAATTAACATCAGTCTTATTTCCTTTGAAGTTTTTATTTTAAACTTAGATTAAGATTTAATAGAAGAGTTTTGTTAAAATGAAATTGATTTTATTATCGAATAGGAACTTGACTGATGGCTCTCTTCATCAAGAATCTTCTAGGTATTTTAGGAGACATGCTCCTTATTGCATAGGCTTCAATTACATGGCAGCATGATCGTTTATTAGGCAACGTAGGTTTGGTATACTCTTCACCTACTCCACTTTTGTCTTTTCACGAGAACAAATCTTATTTCTCAACTGTGAATTGGCGTCCTGTTCTGTGAATGGCAACTACTAATATTTAAGGTTTTACAAATAGTGCACTATTTTGTAAGGATCCTTTGAGTGATAATGTATGACATATATATGATTGCACAGGCTATTTTAAAAATAGCCTAAATCATTAAAATCATGAATAGCTTATTAATAATTCAACAATATAAGAGGGAAAAAATCCAAAAAAATTATCATATAATTAAGCATGTGTTTACTTCAACATAATTGAAGGTTAACCAAAGGCAATGAAGTTGGAAAGAGGCTCTTATGGTAAAGAGAATGATTGAGTTGTGAATGAAATTGTCAGGGCTTAGCAATGCATAATGTTGAATAAAATACAAAACATTGAAGCTTAGGCTTTCATAAAGAAAGATAAGATTAAGCATCTTCATGGAATGTCCGAGAAAGTTCTAGAATTATAAAAAGAGGCCTTCATGGTAGAAGAGCGAGGTACTTGGAGACAATCTTTCGTTGATTATTTAAAGAAGGTAAATTACAAACAAATAAATCGTTAGCTGCACAAATTGGAATGAGGGTTCAACAGTATGTGTTTGTCAATGACACTCTTTATCGCAGATCTTTTAACCAAATGTGACTATGATGCTTGAAGATTGAAGAAGATGATAAAGTCATGGCTGAAGTTCATGAGCGACTGTGGAGTGCACCAATTGAGTCCTAAAACATCTATAAAAATAAAAAATTGTGTTACTACTGGTCATCGATGATGAAAGATCACATCAATTATGCTAAAATGTGCCATGAATGTCAAATCTGTCGTGGTACGATGCCCTAGCCCTTAAATCTATTACACTCTACAGTTGCATTCTGACCATTTGTATGTTGAGTAATAGATATTCGATCAACTATCATTTGTTGGGCACTACATATTAGCAGCATTTTTTAAAATGAGTTGAAGTAGCTTCATTAAAGAAGGTTATTGCCAAGCATTTTATCAATTTCTTTAACCACAATGTCTATAGATTTGATATGCCACACCTTATAATTGTAGACAATGGGTAGACTTTTAAAAGTACTATTATATATTGATTCATTGAATGATATGGATTGATTGACGATATTGATCAATATACAATCTAAAAGTAAATGGTTTGACTGATGTTTTTAACAAAATACTGATAAAGCTACTTAAAAGATCTTCGCTAAAAATAAAGGAGTGTGACATTAAAATGATAAAAGTGTTAGGCATATCACACTATCTATAAAACACCAACAAAAATCACTCCTTAAGTGTTAAGTGTTTGGAGCTAAAGCAACACTGCCATTGAGGTTGAGTTGCTATCACTTCGAGTAGTTATTGAATATGATCTCACTCAAGAATACTCTCGTTTGCAAGTGGAAGAACTCGGTGCATTAAATGAAATCAAACTCAAAATTCAATAAAACCTTGAAATTTATTGAAAAAAATATGTCAATATCTTTCGATCACTTGATGTATCTTTAGACATTCTAAGATGAGTTGATCATGTTCCTGAGAATACCGATCATCCCTCATTGAAGAATTAATGACAAATTCAGGTCTAATTGGGAAGACCTCTTCCTCATTGAAAATGCATATGTGTGAGGAGCTTATTAACTCATTAATCTAAATGGGTCAAAGACTTGCACACCAATCAATGATCAATACTTGAAAAAATATTATATATAATGACTAAATAATAAAAGTTTTGAACCTAAAATCCCTTGTAAAGCAGGAAATAACTTCTTTATGTATGATAACATGCATGTTTAATTTTTTTCTCAAAACTCTTTTGTAATGTAAAAATACATTTTAAGATTCTCATAAAAACTATGTTGCAAAAGGGTCCATTTAGTAGGAATGCAATGAAGTGCCCGGGGGGGGGTGGGGGAGATGTTTATAGCTAAAGTTTGCTGAAATCTTCTCGTAAGATTGGATATTTTAAATTTTAATATGTAATATTTAAGATTGTTGAAATTCTCCCTGTGATATACACATTTTTTAATTATTTATTTAGAAGAAAATGATCAAAATGATCTCTCAACTTTTTGTGAGGGAGCAAAATGGTTCCCAACTCTTTTGAAGTATTAATTTTGGTCATTCAAATCTTTAAAATGAGACATTTTTTGTCCTAAGATCTAGACTTTGTTTGTTTGAGCGTTTTTTTGCCTTTTCCATTTGGAAACGGAGGAATTTTTTTTTTGGTGTTGTTTGGTTCGTCAAATCACGTTCCCAATAACTCATTTTTTTTCATTTTTCTGCAGTTTTGAGAAAGCTTTTTATATATGCTTCTCCGTTAGAAAACTCCATTTTCTAAACTCATGTTTTTTAAAACTGCCTTTTACAAAAGCACCAAAAAAACAAACGAAGCCCTAATGTTCATGTTAATGGTGTTAAATGTATGAGTATTTTGATTATTTTTAATAACATATTTATTAAATATAATTTTTAAATAATTATATATATATTTTTAAAATTATTAAATATTTCTTTAATTAAAAAATAATAATTATTTTAGTTTTAATTTCAATTGTTTGATAAATTTTTTAAAAAAACTTATATATTTAATAAACTTTTAATTAAAAATGATCAAAATACCCATACATTTAACACCATAAGCTCAAACATTGAATGTTAGGATAAAAAATGCACAATTTTAAAAAGTTGGGGACCAAATTGGTCCCTCAAAAGAGTTGGGGACAATTTTGATCTCTCACAAAGAGTTGAGGGACCATTTTGGTTCTTTTCTCATTTATTTAGGTTAGCATCATGTTTCATACTAAGATCTTTAAATAAATATTTAGAATTATTAGCGAAGTATTTTATCTAATTTTGCAAGCAGAAGAAATGAAAGGCTAATGCTAACAAATGTGCATATACGATGACTCATAAAGTTCGAGGTTTGTTCTCTTAATTTGTCAATATTCCAAAAGTCTAGTGTTGTCTGGAGCTATTCTCTTGTTTAGTGTTGTCTTGTAGGAGACTCATGTTTTACTAGGTGAGAGTTATGCTTACTTCAGGTATCTTCTTCTTGTATGATACTACTTAATGACTTAGTTGTGGTACTCAATGAGAACATTCCTTTACGAACTTGGAAGTAATTTATCTAAACCTTATTGAAACAATTCTAGTAGTCTAATAGCCTATTTATTTAAGCAATTCTTTGTGTTTGGATAATGCATGTACAGAAGGTGAATTGGAGCAGCCAAGCAGCCCTTCTCTCAAAAAGATTGAAGAAAAGGGAGTTTCCATTGTTCATGAAGTTAAATGCAAGGTCTACATAAAGGTCAGCCTTTTTCTTGTGTGTTTATGACCGAATATTTTAATATGGTGAACAATTGGAATCTGCAATTTATACACTTGCCGAATTATTTATTTATTTATTTATTTTGAGAAAACCGAATTATTTATTCACTAGAAGATTTGTGATTTCTTATAACACGCTGTAGCATATTTAAATCAAACTAGAAACACACTAAAAGACTATTTCTGTTAAAACTATATGGTAACCCTTTATATGTTATTTATGCTGATAATTTTAATGCATTTTTGATGCAGGACATACATGAAAATTTGAGTTAGATAAGAATTTTGCACGTTTATTGAGTAAGAGCTAATTAATTAAAGCTTTATGATGATTCAAACAATGAAATAAAACCAAAGAGCGGTAAACACAAGCTTAGGCCAAGTTACCCGTGAAAAGTAAAAATCACATAATAATCAATAACTCTACGTTGCATACGAGATGTGTTTAAACAAGAAATCCCTAATTTAACAATAAGAGTAGTGCTATGAAAGATCTTTCAGACACTTCCTACTAAACACTAAACTTTTAGCGGAGCTTGGCAATATTTTGCATGAATCAAATAAAACCACAAGTAAGGATCAACGAATAAAGTAAGAGAGAATGAAAGAGTTCATCATTTGCTAAGATTCAACCTTCTTGCAAGCTTGGACAGTGGATGGTGGCTTTATGGCAGCGAAACTGTTGATCTCCTCTTGTCGGAATTGATGGACAACAAGCAGTCCTTGGACAGCAGTTTGAAAGGGCTCCCATTGGTAGGGAGGCCAGGGGAAGATGCAGGAGTTCTTGGACAACAATTTTCCTAATGCTGAAGTTCAGGATAGCAATCTTCTTCTGGATAGCAACTAGGAAATCTTCTTGGACAATTTCTTGATGATTTTGGTATTTCTGGACAGCAGGGAATCATGTGTTGGGGCTAGGGTTTGAAGTGGGTGGCGGGTAGAGAGAGGGAGGAGTGAGGAATTAGGGGATTAATTCCTTTGATTGGGGTCTAGGTTTTGGAAAGAAATTAAATGGTGAAGGAACCATGGGGCCAGCGGCATCAAGAGGAGTGGAGGGGATTGGGGAAGGGTCTTTAGTGCTTGCCTATTTGGGAATTCAAATTGAGGGAAGAATTAACAATCCAATTCAAATTTGATTTGGATTTGATTGGATAAGTTTCCTAAAATAGGTCCTTATTTTTGGAAACAATTTGAATTTCAAAATTTGATTGGTTGATTGGATTGATAGCTTTCCCAAAATGATTTGTATGGAAAAGGAAATAAGTAATGGAGGGATTTGAATTGTTTCCAAGAGAGAGCATTGCTTTTGGAAATAATTCCACAAAGAACCAAGAGGGGGCCGGCGGTATAGGGAGGGGATTGGAGGGATTAAATGGGGTTTAATGCTTTCCTGATTGGGATTCACTAATCAGGACATATAATTTAATGTCCAATCCAAATCAAATTAATTTTGAATTTGATTTTAGAAATTTTTCAAAAATATGATTCTATTTTAGAAAAAGATTCAAATTTCAAGTTTGAATTAATTGTTTGAAAGTAAATAACTTTCCGAAGAGGAGCTAAGCAAGAAAGGAAAGTATTCAAGTGGAATTTGGAAAATTGGAGGCAAGGGGGAGGGGAAAACCGGTGGCTAGGCTAATGTTTGGTGGAGGTGGAGGGGTCGGATGGGTCACCCAATTAAGGAAACATTGTTGGGGCCGGCGGTTATGTGGGGGTGGAGAAGTGGGTCTAAGTCGGTGGTGGGGTGGGGATATGGTCGGCGGTGGAAACTTGGAGGAGTAAGAAGGAAGGGAGGATATAAAGAAAGAATCGATAAAACAAGCCACGAACCCGGCTGTCTCCAAGGTTGGTGGGTGATCCGCTTTCCCTCCCTAGGGATTTCTCCAAAGCTCTCTCCTAGAACTCTCACAATTCAAAGAACACTTATGCAGGAATTTTCTTATCATTCATTCTTTAACCCTCAAAGAAGAAGAGGGAGGCTTTAAATAGCACATGCAATGAGAAAATAAAAAGTACTACAATGCCCCTTGGGCTTACACATACCTAAGCCCTTAAGTAAGGGCAAAAATGGAAAAGCATAATAAAACTTCATAAATAAAAAAAATACATCAATAATAAATATGAAAATCAAAAGTAGAGCGATGTAATCGTGGCCGTAGATCGACGGCCATGCCTCTAGTAAACTTTTCATGTCTTGATGTCCTCATCAATTTTATTATGCTTGAACTTATTGAAATAATTCATAAATGTTGACGGTATATTATGCCTTACTGAAGTCCTAAGAAACTAGAATGAAAAATTTTAACAAAAAACCTTCTCCAGTGATGAAACCTTTTGGGATTCCATGATGGATAATTTTTTAGTGCAAAATGAAGCGGATTACATTTAAATTCAAGTAATACTGAGGCTGCAGATTGCTAATAATTGTATGTTAACTACTACCAGCAAGTGGGCAGTAACTTTGTGTGGTACTTGTTGACAATATAAAATAACTGAATCTTTTTAAGTTTGAGTGTAAAAAACAGGAGTATATTTATTTGTACTTATCAACATTAACCAAAAGTTTGAAGCATTTTAAGTCTGAGCGTTCAAACAAGATTATATTTAATTGTACTTGTCCACATTAACTAATAGTTTGAAGCATTTTATGCCTGAGCGTTCAAACAAGAGTGGCTAGGAAACATAGGCACAGACATGGATGGAGTCATTTACAAAAGACGACATGGACACGGTGACATATTTGTAAATGTAGGATATGATATGCTATGGAAAAAATATTATAGTTTTATAAATTATTAATATAAAATAAATATTTTTTAGTATTTTTTGCTAAATGCATCATAGGGTGAATTATAATATCATATACATATATTTTATGAAGGAAATATAATTATTGATATATCTGACCGAAAGAAAAAAGAACTACAAATTCATTAGTCTTAATAATATATGCTAATCAAATTAAGCTTCTTGATAATGAGTTTTTCCTATGTAATCAACATATTAGTTTATGAAAGTCTTCTAATCATAATCTCCATATTAATGAAAATTCATACTTATATCCGATTATATGGACTTATAATGTAACATGATGTTAATTAATAGAAATAAAAGAAAAAAAACTTTTTATCTACATGTTGCATTGCTCGATAAAGGACAACGAAATAAATCAACTATTCAGACTCTAACTACTGTCTAATTCGATAGTCCAAAATTCTCATTATTTTTGTGTGAAAAAAATTCGGCCCATTCCAAAGTTTAATTAGCATTAGAATGCATGATAGTTCTTCCAAGTTTGTAGGAAAATATTTTGTATTATGAAAAAAATAGTCATATCTAGATTGCTTTGCTGTAAAATTAAGCAATTGTTGTACAATTTGGTGATAATAAGAATTAAGAAGTATCTTTATATTGAAAATTAAAAGTGAATCATGATATAGTCATCCAAAAATTTCTATGTGAAGGAACATTAATTTTATAATAATATGTACAATATACTCATGTTATGTGTGTCCTCATTGTGCAAAACATTGTTGACTTATACACTAGTGAGCACAAAAAGAACTAAAAATCTAAAATTGACGACGCAAAAGATGTTCGGTGGGTGCGACGCATCGCTAAAATGCTCAAACGATATTCGATTGCCAAACGGATTGCGCTGATGCGATCAATATGTTGAATTTACCAAAGAGGGAATCAATCACAGTCGAATCGAGCCAAAATGATCGAAATCGATGACCTACGCTCGAGGTGTTGCCCGACACTACCCAGACGACGCCCGTTCGTGAAACGAACCTCGCCGTTTTATTCGAAACATCAGAATTATATATAAATGACTATAACATTGTGATGCAGGATTAAGTATGATTTTAATGAATGCGATAAGAACTTGCACGTTTTGAATTAGAGCAATTAATAATTACGATCGTTAGCCACTAAACGATAATAGAAAATAAAAGAGTGGCTTCGCTTAAGCAAAATCCCATGCTAAGAGCTATTATCACCAAAGTTATTAGAATTTCAACCGATACAAATTAAGTAGATGATCAATAGAATCCCTAGGTTAACAATGAGATTAGAAAGCATAGAAAATCAAAACTCAGATCCTACGTTTACTAAGCAAAGACATAAAACTTGGTACGACTTATTGTGCTTGAATCACAACCTACAAGAGCAGATGATTATAAGAGAATTTGAATAGGGGAAAAAGTTCACCCTCGTCGTGGAACAGAAGTGATTTGCCAATGAACGTTGGCAAGCTGCTCTTCGATTGCTTCGGACAAGGTGAAGATGATACAATCAAGGTATTTTTCAGCAGAATTGTCTATTTTCGGGTTGACGTCGAAGAATGTTGACCAAAGAATGTCGACATGTCCTTGCTCGTTGTAGACGAAGTCGGAGTCAAGATCGGGATCGTTGTAGAGAGGTTGCATGCCAAAGATGGAGGCTTAGGGAAGAAATATGTTCAGATTTTGGGGTTGGGGGGG